TTGGTCATCCACCCCTCCCCTTTCCAACGGCCTATGAAAACTGCTGTCTGCTCTCCACATAGGGCTCAGTTTGCACTTTTTAGAATGTTCATGAATGGAATTTGCTATGATCAGTCCGACCCCCCAGGCACTTGACTCTTCCTGCTTCCTATTCCCGTCCTAGGTCATAAGGCCTCGGACGCCTGTTAGTCCTTTCTACTGGCTCATCTGAACCTCAACAGATTACAGACCACAGTAGCCCATAGACCACTGTAGACTGTACACCATGGTAGACACCGTAGATTACAGGTCACTGTAGACAATGGGACACTGTACACTGTAGACTACACTGTAACCCACTCTGACTGTACACCACTGCAGACTATGGACTACTGTAGACGACAGGCCACTGTGAACTACAGGCTACTCTGTGGACCACTGTAGACTACTTACCACTGTAAAATATAGACTACTCTAAATTTCAGAATGCTCTAGACAATAATGTCAACTAGCACAGTAACTTCTTAGAACATTCCTTTGCTCTACTGCACCCATAGCACCAATTCTATGTATGATTTCCCTAACATACTCCCAATAGGTCCATCTCTGGATGGGAGGATGGAGCTGGCTCAGCGATCAATGCTTTTGATCATTGCATCTGCATGTCACCCTGCAATGTGCCACCATCACCTCTAGTCTTTCCTGTCACTGTCTTCTGTCATGTCACTCTCTTTTTGTGAATTATTTGCAGAAGTAGGCTGTCACCTTCTGAGGAGAGCCCACTCATCCTGCTGACTCCTGCCCTGCCAGCGGGTGCTGTAATTTGAGCATGGCTTGGCCTCCAAGGGTTTAAGTGCTAAAAATATATGAAATTTACGTTTCAGTGTCTATAAAGCCATACTGGAACATAGCCACTCCCATTTATGTACACATGGTCTGTGGCTGCTGAAGACCTACTATGGCAGGGCTCAGCATTTTCAGACAACTGTATGATCCATGGGCTTGCACTGAAGGCACTGGCTGTCCTGTTCTAGCTCGAGCATTGGACACACCAGATCACGAGGTCTTTGGTCACAGAGTCCAAGCACTGGGCTTTTAGAGATCATGCAGTTCAGAGGCCTCATTTTTCAGGGCCAAACAGCAATACCAAAGCAGATCCAAAGAATCAGTGGGGGAAATGAGAGGTAAAAGAGGGGGTCTTGGGGTTATCCCCTAGGCACCCATCATGCACAGCAGAGGGGCTAGGTTGTGCACGCTCCCACTCCACTCTTTCTCCCCTTCCTCCCAGAGTTACACCAGGCTCCGCTCCTGCCCTGCATCCTTTCATACTTCATTCCTTCTTAACCACAAGGACACTTGTCTGCTTTCAGCCATCTGCTTGGTCTCTCTGTGTGTCTTCAGCCCTGTCCTACGCTGTTGCACGCAAGTATGGAACCGTATACCTCCTGCAGGAAGCACTCATCTCTGTCTCTCCAATTGCCTGACTGGGGTTAGGGGGATCATCACAGTTGCCAGTTGCTCTGGAAAGACATTGGTCTCTGAAGACCTCCCGTGGTCAGGGACACAGGAAATTCATGAATAGACCCCACTTTCCTTTCATGTCACTTTCAGTCCTCTTCAGTCAGTGGAAAAGTCCATGGGAAACCCAGCTACACTCTGGTCCCCTCTCTTGAGCTCTGGTCCCCTTCACTAAGCTCTGGTTCCTCTGCCAGCCTGTCCAGGCCAACCTCCAAGTGCTCAGTCGTGGCTGGACTTCCCTTTCTTCCCGGCATCTGAGGCAGGACTGGGCTCCAACAGCCTCATCTCTCATTTATCATCTCACGCACGTGTACTCCCATGCCCACCCGTGTACCTGAACACGTGACACTCAGCAGTGTTCCCAGATGCACAGTCCTTGCGTGGTCCCAGCCACATGTGGCTCAAGGAATGTCAGGCACCAGGGACCTCTGGCCTGGAGGTGACCCTGACCTCTGTGCCCCATTTCAGATGCTGCCTGATAAGGACATACAAAGACCATACTGTGTTGCTCCTGCCTCGGGCAGCACATTCTTGCCTCTCCCCCTAACACAGACACTCTGGGTAGTCATTCTCTAGACAGTCTCTGCTTGTCTGTGTTTATGCGTCCAACACCTCTACGGGGAACATGCTCCCTTTCTTCACAGGAGGAAACAGGCTTGCCTGACTCCGAGCAGATGTGCTCCATTATCTACCTTCGCTGCTCAGGTGTGGCCTGAGCATCACCATCCCTGGGCGCTGCTAGAATGTGGAAACCCAACTGTCCCACGCCACCTGAGTCAGAATCTGCTCTTTCACAAGATCTCGGATGACTTACCTGCGCACCGCAATGTGAAAAACACCATCCCGCGCCTCCTTTCTCAAGGTAGGAAATTACCATCAACAAAGGAAAACCAAGGCAGACTGGGAGGAGCTCCATGCTTGCCACAGCGGGGTGCCTACTCTTCATCCTTGCTACTTAACTTCAAATTTCCAACTTGACCTTCCTTTCCCATGGCCCCACCATAATCTCCTTTAAGCATTTTGTGGTCAAATAAATCAGAACACTGTGTAGGTGTGCATTTAAAGTTCATGTTCTCTGGACAGCTCTTGCCTAGCATGCAAAATGCCCTGGATTCTATCCAAGCAGCCCCCAATAATAATAATAATAATAATAAATTAAACCAAAGTTCCCATTTTCTGGTTTAGCACCCAATCATGACCCAACACACATTAAGCCAACAGTTGACTTGACAGAAAACTAAAAATGGGGGAGAAGTATTTATTTCATACCATTATTTAAGACAGGCCCTGAGAGTTATTTTGGACACACTGTAGGTTGGGTGTTCTCAGAGGTGTGGGGACCTGAGCTTTTTCTGCTGAGGAAGCAAGTCTCTGCCAGTGGCACACTGTCAGCTTGATTGCCCACACAGCTCAACTGTGAACACGATTTCTGCACCACGTCAGTGAAAATGAGCATTACTGATCAGGCCACATGCAGGGGTCGGAGGGGGAAGTACAGGTTGAGTGTCCCTCATCCAGCGTGCATGGTACCACAGGCTTCAGAATCCAGATTTTCGAAAACTTGCAAACACATAATGAGATATTTTAGGATGGGACCCAAGTCTAACCTGAAACTCCCCTAGGTGTCATATTTGTCTTATACACAGCCTGAAAATAATTCTATATGATATAAACAGAGAGAGGGGAGGGAAAGAGTTACTGAGGTTTAAACTCAGTTTGAATTCAGAGTTTCACCCTTGTAAAGCAGGCACTCTACTGCTTGAGTCACACCTCCAGTCCATTTTGCTCTGGTTACTGGGACTGCAGGTGTGAGCCACCAGCACCTGGCTGTATAGGATATTTTTAGTATGCCTGCGTTTGGACAGAAACCTGTCACATAAAGTCACGTAGGTGTGGAATTTTCCACTTGTGGTGTCCTGTCCGAGTTCAAAAACTTTCAGATTTTAAGTTGGGCATGATTGCACACACCTGTAATCCCAGCACTACAGAGTGTCCTGTCTCAATAAACCAAGAGCTGAAGATGTCACTCAGAGCACTTGCCTATCATGTATAAGACCCTAGGTTTGATCTCCAGCACTGCAAAAATCCTTTTCTGATGTTTGAGAATCTTGGATTTGATTTTTCAGATTAGGGATGCTTAACCTGTAGTAATTAATACTTGTTATCTAAAATTATATATATATATATGTATATATAAAATATATATATACATGTATATATAAAATATATATACATGTATATATATGCACGGAGATTGATGTCTGTCTGGAGCACTGGAAAAGAAGTCTTAGAGGCTTTCTGTGAAGCACAAAAGTGGTTGTAAGGGAAATAAAAATGAGCGCCATCTGAAATGCACGTGAGACACTATTTGTCGGCCATCAGACTGACAGGCGGTGGCAAAGGGGTGGCCGTTCACATCCTCATACTTTCAGAGAGAAGTCAACAATTATCCAACTTCCAGGAAGGGCAACTTGCCAGCAGCTTTGAAAATCACCCCAGGCACATGTGCAGACTCCACTTCCAGGAATCTGTCCTACAGAAATACATTTATCCAAAAGGCGTGAAAAAGGGCTGTTTATAGTATCAAAAATTGGTAACAGCCCAGGAGACAGGTTGAATAAATTACAGAATGTCTGAACAACAAAGGAGGAAGCTCTTTTGGTACTGAATTGGGATGACCTCCAAGAAACACATTAAGTGGAAAAGATGGGGGCGGGGGGAAAGCTATTTGTAGAGTGCATAAAAGATCGACGAAAAGACTGGCAAAGAATTGATAGCCCTGGTACTCCGCACAGAAGTGGATGGAGCCCAGAGGAGCAGAATTCCTATTGTTTATACTCTTGTATTTTCTGAAATGTGAGCCATTCCAAAGCTAAAAATAAAATTTTAAAGGGACGGAGGACATGGGAGGTTAGTGTCTAATGGGGGCCAGAGTTTGGAGATTAAAGTGGGGGGCTTTGAAAACGCCTGTCTCAGACGCAGTTCATCCATCCGCAGCTTCCCGACACCCCAGCAGCACCCCAGGATGCAGGCGCAGGAGACCCCAGCGCAGGGAAGCTGGAGGCCTAGGGTGTCCAGGCATCGAGAGGATCCGGGGCGAACTGGGGACCTCCAGCTGGACCGCGTCTCCTCGCTCAGCCTCGGCCCTACAGCTGCACAGCCAGCCCACGTGCGCCCGCCCTGAACGACCCTCTGTGGTCCTGAGCCCATCCCCGGACGGCGGCCGCCCCGCGCCTGCGCAGACATCGCCCCCGCGCACACTCGGCGCCTGCGCAGACGCCTCCAGCGCTGGCTCCATACCCGCAGGCAAACGGGGGCGGGCACAGTGTCGACGGTCCATCATCCGATCCCTCCCATTGGCTGAGAGATGGAGCGTGGGTTCGGTCCGCCGCTGATTGGACGGCGCGCAAGCAGGCGGGTCCGCGTAGGCCAATCGTGTGGCAGCGCGTGAGGCTGCGAAGCCTGGAGGGACAGAGCTAGGACCACTCGCGGCTTGTGGGTCTGGGGACGCGGAGGGACTTGGTCATGGCCTCCGAGAAGCCGCTGGTGGCCGTCACCTGCACGGCGCCAGTCAACATCGCGGTCATCAAATATTGTGAGTGCCACCTCCTGGGCTGGGGATGAGGATCGGGGAACCGGATGGGGGTGGCGAGGCCGGGCGCTGGTCCTGCCGTGGACTGGGCGCGCGCTCCCCGCCTGCGGCCTCCTGGGGCCCGGGCCGCACCTGCGGACGGGGAGACGGGTGTTCTCGCCGCTGGCGCCCGGCGCCTGGCCCTGTCCGCCATTCCTGAAGTTCTGGGGTTGGCATGGCTGCACCTGTGACAGTGACCCCGTCCCCTCCCCGTCCCCGGGGGACATCTGTAAATCCGGAGTGGACACACCCGGCAGCGCGCCGCAGCCCGCAGCCGCCCACTGCTGACCTCCCTCCGTGCTGTCATTTCGACGGTGACCTACGGTGGAATCACACGGCGTATGCATGTGGGCTTTGGCTCATTTCCTCCGTATGCAAGTTGGTGTAGCAAGAGCTCGTGGCCTTTTGTCACTGGGACACCCACACGTATCCAGCTTTGCACCCCCGAGCGCTGATGGGTGGGTTCCAGCTCAGGTCAATTACCAATAAGGCGGGTGACATGTTGGGGACAGGCCTTTATGTCCCCCTGCGGGGATGTAGGTGCATCCAGCAGTGCAGCTGCAGGGCCCCTGGGTTGCTCTTCACTCGTTGAGGGAACTGTCAAGCTGGCCCAGGAGTGGCCGGACCAGTTTTTGTTCTCACCCACAGTGCCTGTGTGAGCTGATTTCTCCACCTCCTCCCCTGCATTTGTTATCTCCTCTTCTCTGCACCCATTCGGACAGGTAGCTCTTTGTGTTTTTAGTTTGCATTTCCCTACTGGCCGACCCGTGGCCATCTTTTCTTGTGCCCTGTGTTGCCTATGGTGAAATGTCTCTGTGTCTTTTGTTCCCGGTCTACTAGAATCGTTCTCTGCCTGGAGAGTTTTGAGCATTCACTATGTATTTTAGACACAGTTCTTATTGGATATGTAGCTTGCAAATATTCTCTCCCGGTCTGTACTGTATATCATCTTTTTATCCTTCTACCAGAGAGCCTGTGTGGATTTTTGTTTTGTTTTCTTTTTTGGTGGGACTGGGGTTTGAACTCAGGGCTTCAAGCTGGCAAAGCAGGTGCTCTGTGGCTTGAGCCTCACTTCCAGTCCATTTTGGAGAGTCAGTGTTTTTTATTTTAGTGAAATTCAGTGTGTCAGTTTTCCTGTTTGTGGATCCTAGTTTGAAGTCAAATCTACATCCTGAGGATTTTTCTTTTCTTTTGTTTTTGAGTTGTATAGTTTTAAATTTTACACTTACATTTCTGATCCATTGTAGCTTCTTCTTTTTTTTTTTTTTTTTAATCACCCATGGTGTTCAGTTATTGCAGAACCATTTGGTGAAAGGCCATCCTTTCTCCATGCATGGTTTTTTTTTTTGGTGGCATTGGAGTTTGAACTCAGGCCTCATTTTTGCCAGGCAGGTGCTCTTATTGATTGAGCCACTCCACCAGCCCTTTTTTGTGATGGGTTTTTTCGAGATGGGGTCTTGTGGACTGTTTGCTCAGGGCTGGCTTTGAGCTGCAGTCCTTCTGATCTCTGTCTCTTGAGTAGCTAGGATTACAAGCATGAGCCATTGGTGCCTGGCAAGATGATTTATCGCTACCTTTCAATCTGTGTCCATTCCTTTCTTCCACCACTCAGTCAAATAAGAGAGTAAGTGTTGACTTCTTGATAAAAGTATCCAGTCTTTCATTCTAAGTTGGATGTCAATGCCAGGGATTTATTTATTTTTTATTTAGGTGGTACTGGGGATTGACCTCAGGGCCTTGTGCTGCTAGGCAGGCTCTCTATCACTTGAGCTATGGCCTTCTGCCCTTACAGAAGCATTTTGAGCAAGGCTGCTTCAAAATCTTTGCCAGATAATCCCAAGGTCTCTGATGTCTCTGAGTTGGCATTTATTGATTGTCTTTGTCGTTCAGTTTGAGATCTTCCTTCTTGGTGAGCTGGTTTTTGGTGAAACCTAAAGGTTTTCTGTTATTTTCTAAGGCTCTGGCTTGTGTTTGAACATCACTCTGGTATGTGTATGAGGTGTCGCCTCATTGCTGCAGGGTAGAGGCAGAAGTTCAGGCTGTACTTACAGTGTGAGCATAGGCTTGTCACTGGGGGATGAGGGGGGGTGTCCTGGTGAGTTCCTGACCTGCCACCAGGCCTCCTCTGGCAACACTCAACAGGGCTGGGAGTACCACCTGTCACTCCAGGTGGGTGAAGCCCAGGCATCCCACTGAGCTGTGTATTCTCTCAGGGAGAGGGTTGGAGCACCCCATTCCAGCCTGGCACCGGTGGAGGTCACTGGAGCAAGACCTTGACAGGGTTTTCTGACCTGCTGGACTTGCTTTACTGATCCTCTGGCTGGCTGTGTCTGTTGAGCAGGTTGGTTTCCCCAGCTGCAGGTCTAGGGCCTATGGGGCAGAAAGAAACCCAGGTAGCTCACCACCTGGCCATACCTGGATCCGAAGGTTCTGGGGTCTGCCTTCTCTTACCTGTGAGTGTTTCGGCTGGTTTTACATGTGACATCTGGGCTCTTAGTTGTACCATGGGCTGCACAGGGGAATAGACAGCTCCCCTGGCTTTGTGATTTGAAGGAGAGAAGAATGAAAGGTGTTCACACATGGGTGTCAGTCTGTTACCTCCTGCCTCAGGGGCCTCACACCAGCCCTGGATGGGCTTAGCAGGGAAAGAAAGCCTTGGCGATCAGGCCTGTGAGTGCTCTTCAGGGAAAACTTTTCACCTGGCTTTCTGGGAGACCGATGGAGTTGCTGTGACACACAGGGAGCGGGAGTACTGGCCAGGAGTGGGCGATTTGAGCAGTGCTCAGGACTTGGGCTTTTCGGGGGACAGGCAGATTGATAACAAGGCCAAGAGCCACAGGGTAAGCTCAGCACCCAGAAGACACTCAATGTGAATTTGTGCAACAAGTGAAAAGATTAAACAGAAGCCGTGACACAGGAGACGGGCTGACCTCCATCTCTGCTCTGGGAATCAAGGCAGAGAGCAATCCCAGACAACTTCCTGAAGTGATGGCACAGCAGGAGGAGGAGGACTGAGATTGTGCAGTGAGCGAGCAGGATGGAGGCAGATGGGATGCAGAGGGTGTGGGGAGCGTCAGCAGGGAAGGTAGGCCTGGAGCCCCACTAGCCGGCCTTTGGCTATCCTTTCCAGGGGGCAAACGAGATGAGGAGCTGGTCCTGCCTATCAACTCCTCCCTGAGTGTCACTTTGCATCAGGACCAGGTGAGCGCATGCTGCCTTGGCCCTACCCAGTGGTTCCAGAGCTGTGGCCAACAGGTGGTCACTGTTCACCCTTAGTCCAGGGTGAGGTGGCTCCGTGTGGAGTCTCTGGCCAGCACAGTACCCTTCCATCCCCTGGCGTTGGGACTGCGTGGTCTCCCCCACCCTACCCCACGCAAAGGCATTTCCAAAGCCCAGTGTGTGCCTCGATTTAGGAAGTGTCTGGGTTCTGCGTGGGAGGTGGGAGCCCGGCCCTGGGTGGTGAGCCTGCAGGTCTCTGTGGGCTTCCCAGCTGCCTGACCCGGGACTGGTTCAACCTCCCTGTCTCCTGCCTGGTGGGCAGCCCTGAGGGTCGTGGGCAGCAAAGGCCACCATGTCAGAATAGGGTGCCTGGTGGACGTCAGCCCCCACATTGGCCTCAGGGGTCCTGGGTTTTCCTTCCCAGTTAAAAACCACCACGACAGCTGCCATCAGCAAGGACTTCTCAGAGGACCGGATTTGGCTGAATGGCCGGGAGGAGGACATGGGGCAGCCACGCCTCCAGGCCTGCCTGAGGGAGAGTGAGTTGGGGTCCTGAGGTATCAGCTGTATCCTCCATGCCCTTGGTGGGGGCTGGGTGTTTAGGACGGGCTTCTGCCTCTTGGCCCCTCCTGCCATTGGCAGACCATGTGTCTGGGAGGCAGTGAGGGCCTAGGCTCTACTGGGGAGGAAGACCACAGGAGAAGTCTGGGGTCGAGGCCCAGTTTTTAGCTGTATCCTATCCTCTCCTGAACCCCGGGGTGGGTGAGATGCCAGGAGTTGGTGGGGTGGGTCTGCTCAGGGGCGGGACCACTCATTATCTGCCCTGCCCCACAGTCCGGCGCCTGGCCAGAAAGCGGAGGAACGCAGGAGACGGGGACTTGGTTCCCCTCAACCTCAACTACAGGGTGCATGTAGCCTCAGTGAATAACTTCCCCACGGCTGCAGGCCTGGCCTCCTCAGCAGCGGGCTATGCCTGCCTAGGTGGGTGCCCGCAGAGACCCCAGCATCCTGTGTCATGGCGTAGGGGTGTATTACACTCTGGCAGCATTTGGGGAGCCCAGCGTCAGGCTCTGCTGTCTGTCGAGTTCAGCCTCTTCCCAGAACACACATGAACACTGAAATCTCCCCCTTTGCTCTGTGTGAGGGTCTCCAGGTACAGACAGGTACTGCCTCCAATCGGCTTATGCTACAAGAAGGTGATTACTTAGTTCACCTAATTGAGAATTCCAGGTGTGCAGCTGGCCTCAGGCACAGCTGGATCCACGCTCTGCACCCATTACTGGGGATTGAAATCTTGGTCTGCTTTCCTCTGCCTGGGCCATTCTCCAGCAGACCCTCCCCATCAGGGATCTGGGGATGAGCTTGGTCGCCCTCATCCCTTAGCTGCAGGGATGATGGTCATGGGCCCAACTGGGCTCCCGTGCGCATCCTGACCATCCTCTGTGGTAAGGGTTGCCCCCCGGAAACTGGGGACTTGGTGCGGCTCCAATGCTGTAAGCCTCTCAGACCACCTCTCCTCCCTCCCAGCGCTGGCAGCCCCCCCCAGCAGACACGTTTCCCCAGGCCTCTGTGCCTTGGTCCCCGTTCCAGGTGACCTTCTGAACTCTTTCCCAACCCACATGGCCAGACTTGGACTTGTGCGCAGCTCCTCAGAGACATTTCTCCAACTGAGTTTGCGTTTCCAGGGTGGCACTGGTGGAGGAATGACCTAAGCTGTGGATGCTGACCTTGGTGCTGTGCACCCCTTCTGCCCTCTCAGAACCCTGTTTCCTGTGCAGTGGGGAGGAGGGGGCTGGTGCACTCCCAGCAGAGCGTGCTGAGCTGTGCTGAGTTGTGCTGAGTGTGGACTGCACCTTTCCTTATGCACTCCCCCTCCCCCCGCAGCGTATACCCTGGCCCAGGTCTATGGGGTTGAGGGTAACCTCTCTGAAGTAGCACGCCGTGGGTCGGGCAGTGCCTGCAGGAGCCTGTATGGGGGCTTCGTGGAGTGGCAGATGGGGGAGCAGACAGATGGCAAGGACAGCATTGCCCGGCAGGTGGCCCCCGAGGTGCACTGGCCCCAACTCCGAGTCCTCGTCCTTGTGGTGAGCAGGCTGGGACATGGAGCCAACAGGGTGGCTTTCTGTCAGCAGTTAGAGCCAGGGTTCAGAATGGAGAGACAGTGTCTAGTCCAGGCTTCATTAGGCTTCTTGGCCGGCAGGAAGCAGACCTGAGGCTGAGCAGGTGGAATGGGTCCTGCACAGCAGGACTACCGCCTCTTCTGTGATGTGCATCTGGCCAGTCAGACCTCGACTCTGCTCTGGCCAGGAGCCCCCCAAGTCAGAGACCATGACTCCTCCCCTAGCTGCCGTGACCAGGAGAGGGCAAGGCCTAGTGTTAGGACTGGGGGTTGGATGGGGCTCCCCTGCAGCCTGGGTCTAGCACTGTCTCGTGTTAAGGTGAGTGCTGAGAAGAAGCTGACGGGCAGCACAGTGGGCATGCAGACCAGCGTGGAGACCAGCGCCCTACTCAAGGTAAGGCCAGTGCCAGGGAGGGGCAGCCCCGGGGGGCCCTGCACCTGCAGCCACCTGTCAAGCTCTGCCCTCATCCTCTTGCCAAGCCATCTGTGCTCACACCTGGAGGCAGAGCCCAGGGCTCCACACAGCCTCTGACTCAGCAGCCATGCTGCGGTGAGAGTGCCGGGGTCCCCTTGGCAAACAGCCATGCCTTTGCAGTTCCGGGCTGAGTCGGTGGTGCCAGCACGCATGAGGGAGATGGCACGCTGCATCCAGGAGCGGGACTTCCATGGCTTTGCCCAGCTGACCATGAAGGACAGCAACCAGTTCCACGCCACCTGCCTTGACACCTTCCCGCCCATCTCATACCTCAATGATATCTCCAGACGCATCATTCAGCTGGTGCACCACTTCAATGCCCACTATGGACAGACGAAGGTGACAGGGCAGAGGAAGGGGACAGGACCACAGAGGGCATTGGCCTGAGCCCTGCCACTCAAACCCAAGGGTGTGGTTTAGGCCTGAGCTCCATACAGACCCTGTGTACCCTGCAGGCACCACAAGACATGGTCCCCCCACTGCACACAGAGCGTAGACAGGATCAGTTTGTTCCTGGTTTTGTTTCTTGGTCAGAACATTGGTTGCATAACCCCTTGGTAACAGGTTCACTGCCCCTTCTGAGTTGTTGGCAGAAGTGACTTGGGCCAGGTGCTCAGTGACACTGCTGGCTCTGGTTTGGCTCTAAGGGGCTTCCTTGGCTCTGGGAGACTGGGGTTCCCTGGCAGATGGAAGGTTGAGCTGGGGATGCTGTGGGTTCCAGGTGGCATACACATTTGATGCGGGCCCCAATGCTGTGATCTTCACCTTGGATGACACTGTGGCTGAGTTCGTGGCAGCCGTGAGACACAGCTTCCCCCCTGCAGCAAATGGAGACAAGTGAGTGTGGGTCCCCTTCCCGTCCTCCTTGGGAAACAGTGCCTGGACTGTCCTGCCAGGATAGATGGCAGGATGCACTGAGCCCAGGGTTCCTGACTGCAGGCCATCCCCATGTGGGGATGACAGTGTAATGTGTCACCATTGCACTTTCCTGGTAAGTCACATAGGTGGCATGTGTGTGTGTGATGCCCAAATCTCCCTCCTCCTAAGAATCAGTGTCCCCTGCAGCTCAGGGACCCTTTGTGTCCTTACTCTACCAAATGATGGGGTTTCATTAGGAAATACACCATGCATTCTGAAGAGTACCTTAAATATCTGAGATTGTACAGAAAAGAATGCAAACAAAGTCCTCATTTGCTTCTTAATGACACAAGTTAGAGCTTGTTCAGGTGGTCCATGCCTGGGTACAGGTATATTTGGGGTGGGATCAGAATCTGCCTGACCTACTACTAGTAGTAATCTCCTGCCCACCTCCCTGGCCTCTGGCGGGCCAAAGCTGTCTCTGTCTCTGTGGAGCCGCCTGTGCTGGGTACGCCACACACTTGGAGTCATACCAGCCTTGTTTTGCCCCAGGTTTCTGAAGGGGCTGCAGGTGACACCTGCCCCTCTCTCTGATGAGCTGAAAGCTGCGCTGGCTTGGGAGCCCATCCCTGGCGGTGTCCAGTACATCATTGTCACTCAGGTGAGGCCAGGTGCACAGCAACAGCTCTTCCTGGTGGAGGAGCCCTGCTCAGCCCATGGGCCCAGCTCCCTTCATCCCACTGTGTCTCAGGCAGGAAGCAGTGCTAACAACAGCAATGGTACAAGAGTGGCAGAAGGCTACCTTTCAGTTTCAGAGCAATACATAAACAGCCTCGGCTTCTTTTGCTCATAAGTGGACATTTATGGGTGACTTACTGTGTGGGGCTGAGGGCGTGGGCAGGGCTAGGAATGTGAAGATCAGTCAGACTCAGGCCTGTGGGCAGACAGACAGACAGGTGGAAGGTGGCCCTCAAGAGAATCGGTAGCTCCTAGGAGGGTGATGGGGGTCTCTGGGACAAGAGCAGCACAGCCTCTGCCCTCAGGGCCACCCCCCATGAGCAGGCCAGGATTCCTGCATCCTGTCCCAACCCTGCTCAGCCCAAGCATAGTGGTCATACCTGCCTGAGCCACAGTCCCTGCTGGCCACATCAGGCTCTGTGCTCAGGGCTGTTCCCATGGCCCTGTGGCCTGCTGGGCACCCCAGTCCTGGTTGGCCAGGACAGCTCAGCCTAGATAAGCTGGGCATGGGTTTCAGCACCCAGTTAGTTTAGGGGTTACCAGGAAGGAAAGGGGGCACACCCCATCACCCCTGCCTGTCCTATTGAACACTCCCTGGCCCCTCCAAGATGGAGCAGCACATAGGGCTGCAGCTGCCGCCTAGTGGCCTAACAATGACTTCTCTACCCTCAGGTGGGGCCGGGGCCTCAAGTCCTGAACGACCCTAATGCTCATCTCCTGGGCTCAGATGGCCTGCCAAAGGGTGCCGCTTGATCAGCTCCACATTGGACCCCACCCCACCTGGAGAGGGGCTTGCTCACTGGGACTACAGAGCTGGTGTGACGGTGGCTGTGCTTGTGGGGACCAGCCTGGTGATGCACTGTGGCCCAGACACAGCTGGGCAAGTGGAGTAGCCACCTGCAGCGCCCAGGCAGTCAGGGGAAGATCCCCCTGCCAAGTGCCTCTCCAGCACTTTGCAAGATGAGAATCAGGGCCCAGCCATCTGCTGAAGGGCTGCTGGCCCGAGCTCTGGCCAAGCTCACCGGGGAGTCGCCATCCCACTGACTGAGTGGGTGCTACGCGGGCCTCAGGAAACCTGCCACGTTCTTGGAGGATGCTGGCTGCAGACGGGGCCTCTGCCGAGACTTGAGCTAACCCTGTACTCAGGTCATGGGTGTGGACGGGATGCTTCTTTATGAAAAGACCAGTGACCCTCCTAGTGAGGAGAAGGGACTGTGGGCCCAGCGGAGGTGGGGGTACATTGTAGGAGCTGGAACCTGGTGTTCCACGGGAATAAACCACTATTGCCAGTTGCTTGCTTCTGCACTTTTTTGCTCCCTAAGCCAGTGTCTGGGGTTTTGGGCTCAGTCCCTGCCTGCCCATGCTGTTGGCAGCAGGCAGTGCTCACCAAGAGGGCAGGACCAGGTTGCTTTCTTCCTCAACCTCCCCTTGAGTTCCACCCTGGCATGGAGGCCGAGAGAGGCAGGATTGCAAGTGACTCTTCCCCTCAGCAGGCAGAGAGGCAGAACCTGAAGCAGATCTCACCTGAGATGAGCTCCCTTTTCCTAACTGGTGCATTGGTACCTATGTCCTCTATGACCACCTCTGCCTTCCTGTCTCCACACCCATGCCACTGCTGCTGCCAGCGTGAGGCCAGGGGCAGAGAAAGGGGTCCACAGAGGGAAGTTGGCTGACCCTGCCTTCTGGGTTTTCGCAGCCTTGCACATCCTGTCCCGCCCTTGTGCTGGTCATGTGAGATCTCGAAGGAGGCGGGCAGTGGGAGCGGGCCACACCTGCAGCAGCCTCAGGAGCTCTCCTTGTCTTACAGCCACTACAAGCAGAGGCAGGGGCACTTCAGGGAGTGAGCATGTCCCCGTGTCCCCTGGTGCAGAGCTCAGTGAAGCGGGGGAGGCCTGTGCGGGAGGCCACTCCACCCTGCCCACGGTTCCGTGCGAGCTCGGCAGGGAGTCCTAAGCAGGCGGGTGAGCCCGCCGCGGGCCCCTTGGACCGCCCTGGGCCCCAGTCTGGGTGAGGGCGCCGCAGGGGAGGCTTCCCAAGTGGGTGAGATTGGGGAACCGGCCCTGCCGCAGCTCCTTACTCTGCGTGCGGACCGCGGGCCTCACTACCTTCACCCGAGGCCCGGGCATGACGAGCTGGAGGGCGGGGCAACACTGGAGCGGAGGGGAGGGGCAAAATGAGAAATGAGGCGGGGCAACCCGAGGGGGTGGGGTGAGGCAAGCGGAGGGGCGTGGTCAGAGGGTGGGGCAAGACTGGAGGGGCGGGGCGAGCAGGGAGGCGTGGTCTGGCGAGAGGCGGGGCGGTCCGGGGGCGGGGGTCTGGCGAGAGGGCGTGGTCATGTGCGGGGTGGGGCGGTCCCAGGGCGGGGTCTGGCGGGAGGGCGTGGTCATGTGCGGGGCGGAGTCTGGCGGGAGGGCGGGGCGAGCCCGCAGCAGAGGCCGGCCGGACAGACACCCGAAACTGCTTGCACAGTGAGCGGCCCGCCGAGTCCGCAGCATGGGGCAGATCGAGTGGGCCATGTGGGCCAACGAGCAGGCGCTGGCGTCCGGCCTGAGTGAGTGCGGCCCGGCGTGCGGCCGAGCCGGGGGAGGGTCCAGACCCCCGCACGGCCTCGGGCTGGGCTCCGGGGAGGGCGGGCTGAGCTGGGCGGGACAGAGGAGCGCCCCGTGTTGGGCTCGGGACCCCGGCGGCCGTGCGGATCTGGCCCCGACCCCTGTCCCCCGTCCCTTGTCCCCGGTCCCCTGTCCCCCCCCCCCCGCCCCTGTACTTCCCCATCCTCGGCCTCGCAGAGGAGGAAGTTGCAGTCGAGGGAAGAGGCGTTTCACCCCGGTGGTTTCCGGGCACTCACTGCCCCACCTGTTTGGGAAAACCCGCTGGAGAATCCTCCTTGCCTTGGGGTCACCAGGGGCTCCTCTTTGCCTGGAACCAGCAGGGGTGGACCCTGGACTGGGCTCCCTCCCCGAGGGTCCTGGATGGGGAGCAGCCCTCTTTGTCTGGGGCCCAGCCTCGAGTCTGCACAGAAGGAAATGTGGGGTTTCACAAGAGAACCACCCAGAGTGACCGCCCAGCCAGCTAAACTGCCCAGAAGGCAGGGTGGTGCACCCCCACCTCACCCCACCCTGGTTGCTGGGAGGTCTGGAGAAGGGCAATGGGTCCCAACCCTCATCGCACTGGACAGAACCTGGGGGATCGGGGGATGAACACAGATTCAGGAGCCCGGGAGATTGGCCAAGGCCGGAGGAAACTGCCAGAGCCTCTCAGGAAGGACCTGAAGCAGTGGAGGTGGGGCAGACCCACCACCACTCACCTGGGGACCTTGTGCAGCCAGGGGCAGAGGGGAGGAAGCCTACACTTTAAGCCCACATTTTGGGGTGGCTGAGCCATGCAGTCTGATCTGGGTCCCATTCCTCCTCTCCTTAGGTTACTGAGTGGCTGGGAAGTCAGGGTCAGAGTAGACAGGTCTCCACTTCTTTTTGTGTCCCACAGGACTGTCACCTTCCTCCTTCCACCCCCAAATTCTCTCCAGGAAGCTGAGTGGGAGCTGGGGGACCTGGGCTCTCATCCCTGTTGGTGCTGGCAGCAACCCGCCCACAGTGGCCCATGTATCTCAGGTGCACTGTGCAGGGTCTCGTCTCACTACTTTACCTAACGTTCGCAGGCCCAGGTTGGCACAAGTGTCTCATCTGGTCCACAGCGCAGAGGGGACTTAGAACAGTCACAGGCTGCGGCCAGTTTCCCCATCTTGTGGGAAATCTGTGTACCCGGACAGGTCGGCCTGTGTGGGCCCATCCAGCATGGCGCCCTGCCTGCTTTTCTACCACAGAAGATTGAAGTTGTTCAGACCACAGCATCCCCGCTGCGTAAAACCCAGGGGTTCATTCGCACAACCAAAGCTTTCCTTTTTCTTTTGTCTTTCCTCCTGTTTTTTGATACAGGGTCGCTAAGTTGGCCTCAAACTCTCCTGAGTGCTGGGACTTCAGGTGTGCCCCACCTTGCTCAGCATGAAAACCTAATTCTGACTGCTCAGGCCCCTGCCCGCCTCCCAGGTCACCTCCAGCCTTGCTCACTCCAGCCACACAGCTTCTTTTCTGTCCCTGGCTTTCCTGAATGTGCCCCAGGGCCTCTGCAGGAGCTGTTTTGTCTGCAGAGCACCCGGGGCTTACTCCTCCATCTCGAAACTCAGATGTCACCTGCTCGGAGATACCTTTCTAGAGCGTGCGACCTGAAGTGCCTGGTCCCCCTTCATCACGTTCCTCTGCTCCTGCCCACCGCTGTCTGAAGCTTGTCTCCCTCACGGGACCATGGCCCCTGTCTTGTCCCCTGCTGTGTCTCTCCACACACAGTAGGCACTCTCTGTCAGATGCTGGAAGGAGTCCCCAGGCCTCCCAGGTGGAGCCAGGGGTGTCTTTGCCCCTCTTGCTGACAGTGGGCAGCTCAGCGTAGGGACAAAATACCCCAGAGCAAGCAGGCAGAACGCCGGTTGCGTGTGTGTGCCAGGAGACCGCCCTTCCTCCCTTAGGGCAAATGAACCCTGGCCAGCAAACCGAAGAAGTTAATATGCAGCTGAGCTCAAAACCAAAGAGGAAGTGAGTGAGTGAGATTTTAAGGTGGGGAGAAGGAGCTGGGGTCTCGGATGCCCCGGGGAATGCCCAGGCCGTCCCCAGGGCTCTGTGTGGAGAAGGAGCTGGAGCTGAGCTGCTGCTGAAGCCGGAGGCGCCGCCTGAGCAGGACTCGCACTGGGCACCGGCCCCTCCATCCACTGCCTGGGCCCTGGGAGGAAAAGATCACAGACAACAAAACTCTGGAAACAGGCCTGTGCCGGGTGTTGGTGTGGGGCTGGATTTACCTACAGATGTAGGAATCGAGGTAAACGGGTGGAGAAACCCTCAGCCCCCAGCAGAGGGGAGTGGCACCGCTGGGACATTTCCCTGGCCAGGCCACAGGAAGCACCCACGGGGGTTTGAGGAAGTGAATCCTGCCAGGGAGTCAGCGTCCCTCAGCAGCGGCCAGGGGCCCGGGCGCCCCGGGGGGCCATGTAGAAGGGACCTGAGGGCGAGCACGTCTGAGTGATCCGCGGGAGAGTGACCAGATCACACAGCAAGAGCAGGACACGGGACAGCAAACCACGCGGAAGGTCTGCAAGCCAAACACCGGAAGTCCTTCGCAGGCGAGGGGTAGATTGAAGGCCGCTCGGACAGAGGAACCGCAGAGCCCGAGGGACGGAGGTGGGGGTTTCTACATAGAGGTTGTGTCATCCACAGAAGTGCCAGAGGACAGAGGCCATGGATGGGGGCCATCTGACAGCAGGAACGGGCAGACATGAAGACACCTCAGCTTGGAAGAAAGCAGAGTGCTTTCCAGAAGGAATGACAGATCTCCGCTTGGACACACTGTGATGAAATTACAATTAAAGAGACAACAAATGCATTAGGACTGTGGCCTCTCCGACACCCGCGACAGCTGCCAGAAGACGAGGAAGCAATGCCTCAGGTGCTGGGAAAAGGACAGGGCTCCCCAGAACCCAGTGTTCAGATGAGCTGTAATTCAAGAATGGTGGCATTAAGCTGGGCGTGGTGGTGTACACCTGTAATCCCAGCGCTTAGAGGCTGAGGCAGGAAGACCAAGAGTCCAAGGACGATTTGGTCTACGTAGTCAGAGCCTGTCTCGAGAAACAATAATACACAAACAAAAAAGGAACAAGGCATGGCCAGGTGTGCTGAGAGCTGCTGGTGACTGAAGGAGGTAAAGAGGAAGACGGACGAAGGAAGAGACTGGCGAACCACTGGCTTAGATGGTCAAAATGAGAACGAGGATGAATGTTCTGAAGTCCATCTGGGCTTCAGGAAGAAGGATTTTGAAATAAGTAGTCTTAAATATTCTGAGGAATTTGCTCAACTATCAAATATACAATGCTACCTTCAGAATCCCAGCTACTCAGGAGGCAGAGATCAGTAGGGTCGTGGTTCGAAGCCAGCGCTGGGCAAATAGTTCACGAGACCCTATCTCAAAAAACCCTTCACAGAAATAGGGCTGGTGGAGTGGCTCAAGGTCGAGGCCCTGAGTTCAGACCCCAGCACCACAAAAACAAACAGACAAAAAGAAATTTGATTAGATCCTGATTCAGCATAAAGCACGGAAGATATTCTTGAGCTGGGTGTGGCGATGCACACCTATAATCCCAGCTGAGGAGGGAGAGCATGAATTTGAGACCAGCCTGGGCTGCTCACCTACAAAGCAAAACAAAAGCTAGGAGGTATGAACATAGGCTCGTTGACAAGAGTGAAATAACCATGGCATCTGTGTGACGGCAAAACGCACAGAGAGGGGACATGAGGCCTGATGGGAATTTCATAATAAAAAGGGAGGGACGTGTTAAACTATAACCAGGAATGTAACTTCTGCTGTGCAAGGAAAGAAGGATTAAAATAAAGTTTGGGTGCGGTGGCTCATTTCTGTAACCCCAGCCACTAAGGAGGCGGAAATTGGGAGGATCACCACTAGAGGCCAGCGTGGATAAAAAGTTACCGAGACCCCATCTCAATCAATAAGTTGGGTGTGGTGGTGTGTGTCTGTGGCCCCAACTGTGTGGGAAGACTGTGGGTAAAGGATCGAGGGCCAGGTAAGCCCAAGCAAAAGTGTGAAACCATCTGAAAAATTAGCCCAAAGTAAAAAGGGCTGGGCTGTGGCAAGTGCAAAGCTCTGAGTTCAAACCCCAGTTCCACCAAAAAAAGGAAAAAAGAAACCGAGCCAGTCACGGTGGCCATGTCTATAATCCCAGTTCTTGGGAGGCTGAAGCAGGAAGGTCATGAATTCAAGGCCACGTAGCAAGACCCTGTTCGAAACAAGACAAAACCACGAGCTGCAGATAAACAGCACGGATAAACTTCAGATTCGGGGTCAGGAACTTTCCGGGATGATGGAGGCCATGTTTCCCCGGGGTGCCCAGTCACCCAGGGCTGGCGGAGTGGCTTAAGTGGTGGATCACGCTTAGCTAGCGTGACACCCTGGGTTCAAACCCCGGAACCGCCAAAAAAAAAAAAAAAAATCCGACCGGGCACCAGAGGCTCACACCTGTAATCCAGGGCTCAGAGCTGAGGGCATCAGGTCCAATGTGGCCTCTGGGCCACACTGTCCCTTGGCTGCACCTGGACCCCCCTCTTCAGCTCAGGGGTCTCCTCCCGGGGCAGGGCCCTGACCCCATCACTTCAGCAGCCCATTATCCACAGGGGACCCAAACATGGCCTGGTGGCCCCCAGTGGGTGGAGAAGGGGAAGTGAGCCCTGTGGGGCTGGGGACATGGCCCATGATGGGTGCCACCTGCTAACCTTCTCCTGTCCATCCACAGTCCTTATCACCGGGGGCATCGTGGCCACTGCCGGACAGTTCGCCCAGTGGTACTTTGGCGCCTACTCCATGTATCCTTCTACTAGGGACCTGATGGGACCGGGCTTGGGGCTGTTCCTGCTGCTTCTGGGGCCACCGTTTGCAGAGGCACGCCACATCCGCTTGACCACGGGCCGGCCTCCATCTGTAGTTTTGGAAGCCAGGGTCACAGCAGCAGGGCCACTTAGCAGAGGTCAGCGGCACCTGGTGGGGCTGGGGGGGTATCGGTGCTGAGGCTGGCACTGCGGCCCTCTGTCAGGCCTCGGGTTGGACCCCACGGTAACCCACCCACCATGTTGGCCCAGGAGCTGAGGACAGGTGAGGTGGGAGATGGGCTCAGAGCAGCAGCCCAGTGGCCAGGCCTGTGGGACGCACATGGCCCCCATCAGCCAGGGGGTCTCGTGGCGGCCGGGCTGAGTGGGGCTAATCCTTGACTGGGCCGTGCAGCGCGGCGGGGGTGTTCATCTGCCTGCTGGAGTACCCGCGGGGAAAGAGGAAAAAGGGCTCCACCATGGAGCGATGGTCAGTGGCTCCCATCTGGGCGGGTGGGGGTGGGCAGCCTTTTCTTGGGCCCCTGTACCTGGGAGGAAAAGAACCTGGGACCCTGGGTGGGGTTGGGGCAGTGGCGGGGGTCCTACGTCAGAGTGGCCCCAACCCCGTGGTCTGTCTTTCCTTCCACGTCTAGCGGACAGAAGTACATGACTGCCGTGGTGAAGCTGTTCGGGCCGCTCACCAGGAATTACTATGTCCGGGCCATCCTGCACCTTCTGTGAGTCCCACCACTTCCCTGTCCCCACTGGGCGCGTGGACAGAAGAGCGTGTGCCCAGCTAGGCCCCTCCTTTACTGCACGTTTGCCAAACAGAAACCAGTGGACCTCTGGCAGAGGTCCCTCACCTGTGTCCTCAAGTCACCCCAAACCCAGTATCTTAAATGAGCAGCGTCTTGGTTCTGGGGTCACTGGGCCTGGCTGGGTGGTTCCTGCCTTGGTCTCCTACGTTTGCCTGCAAGGCGGCGTGTCTGGTGGCCTTCGCTGGACTGGGGCCGGGCACGCGGCCATGCTACAGGTCTTGAGCTTCCTCCCAACATGGCGGCTGGGGCCCAAGAGGCAAAGAACAGACCAAGGCAGAGAAAAGCTTCATCTGAACTGAAGTCAGACCTTCGGCAGCGCTGAGCCTCCCCTTGGTCTGGGGTCAGCCTTGTCGTCTGTGCTGTCCTGTGATCAGAAGCCTCCCTTCTGACATCCGTGCTGTGTTTGCCCGCCCTGCCCTCCCCTCCTCTCCCTTCCTGTCCTCCTCTCCAGGCTGGCAGTGCCCGCGGGCTTCCTGCTGGCCACCATCCTGGGAACCGCCTGCTTGGCCATTGCAAGTGCCATCTACCTGCTGGTAAGTGGTGTCCTCTGTGGTCAGCCCCTGGTCACTCGCAGCCCTGGTTCTGGGTGTCTTGGCTCTCCTGACCAGCTCTGTAGGCCGTGCTGAGGCAGGAGCTCTGTGCTTGCCACGCATGAGCTCCCCTTGCTTGCTCGTGTCACATGGGGCAGCACGGTGGCAGCATGGTTTTCTGCACTACTGACCCACACGGCCACTTCTCTGCCCTTTCCCATGAAGCCCTGCAGGGAGGGACGAGGGAGCAGAGGCTCAAGAGAGGTGACGTGGCTGACCAGGGTCACCTGGCCCAGCCTGGATTTGGGTCCGTTTCTCACTGAGACTCCTGCTCCAGTTTGAGGCTGTCGGGTACACCGCTGGGGAACTCAAATTGTGCAATATTTATAGGGCTTCCTACATGTCCTGAACTCATTCATAATCTCTGCGGGCACACAGACCCCGCCAGCCCTTCTTTCAGGGCCCCTCCTCTCTGGACCGACCTTGCCTGCGGCAGAGATCTTGAGGATGTTTTCCATGCATTTTCTTCTGCCACCTTCCCGGTTTCACCACTCAGGAGGGAAGGCCCTGGTCGTCGGTTAGGAAGTGCGGTCACAGATGCTTATTTGTTCTTAGGTTCTTAAAGTTTAGTCCGCGGCATAGCTTCTTGCTTGTTTTTTAGAGTTTTTTTGAGACAGGGTCTCCCTACGTAGCACAGGCTGGCCTTGAACTCAAGATCCTCCTGCCTCACCTCCCGAGTGCCAGGATTGCAGGCGTGCACCCGTAACGTAGCTTTTTAAATCCATCGAATATTATGGGATGCTAGGGCCGGTGGAGGGGTCCAAGTGATAGTGCACCTGCCTCGAAAGCCGGAGAGGATGGAGTTCAGCTCCCAGTACCACCAAAAGAATTTATTATGGGATACTAAATCTATGTATTTTGGTGGGATGGGGTTTGAACTCAGGCCTTCGCACTTGCAAAGCAGACACTCTACCACATGAGCCTCAACTGCAGTCCGTTTTGCTCTGGTTATGTTGGAGATGGGGTGTCTTGAACTATTTGCCTGGGCTGGCTTTGAACTGCAGTCCTGATCTCAGCCTCCCAAGTAGCTAGGATTATAGGCATGAGCCACTGGCACCGGTGGGTCTTGGAATTTATACCTGGACATGGCCTCCAGGGATTTTCGAGAAGACCAGGGTTTCTAAGCCAGTCTTTCCCCTTGCAGGACACGTGGCACATGAACAGCTTGGGTTTGAGGTCAGGCAGGCCCAGGTCCTGCCTGTGTGGCTTGTGGTCAGTCACGTAACCTCTCTGAGCCAAGCCCCGATCATCTTAGGGGTTTGGACTTATGTCCATCCTGGAGCCTTTAGTAGGGGGTTGGTCCCCCGGGGAGGCCCCGCATGGGAGGCCTGCAGCACTGCCCAGCCCGTCTGTGTCCCCCAGGCAGCCATCCGGGGTGAGCAGTGGACCCCCATCGAGCCCCAGCCCAAGGAACGGCCACAGGTTGGAGGCACCATCAAGCAGCCACCCAGCAACCCCCCGCCCCGGCCCCCAGCGGAGGCCCGCAAGAAGCCCAGCGAGGAGGAGGAGGGGGCGGTGGGGGGCCCGCAGGTCAACCCCATCCCGGTGACCGACGAGGTTGTGTGACCTGCGCAAGCTTCTCCCCGGCGGTGCCGGCTCGCATTCCCCGGGGCTGCCACCAGGGGGCGGCGGCACCTACCACAATAAACAGACGACTCCTGCCCTGTGTGACTTCCTGGGTGGGGGGCCTGTGTCGGGGCACCAGTCTTGGCACGTCTAGCGAGCCACGGGGGGAGTTTCGGCCTCATTGGCAACAGATTGTTTTCGCAGTGGCCTGTGAGGTTCGGGAGCATCCTCACGCTATGAACACCTGAAATTCCACCCAGGGAATTCCTCCCTGGCCTGAGGGGACCGAGCAGGTGTCCTCACTTCCTGGCTCTGCCAGACCTGCAGGACTCACCCTCTTATAGCATCCCCAATACCCGCAGAGGCGCGGGTCCCAGGGGCTTCCCTTGGGGCTGAGGCACGCAGATGGGCCATGGGGTGGAGCAGGGATTCCTGGGGAGTCTAGCCTTTCCCCCGAGCCTTTTCTGCAGAAGCAAAGGTGAGGCTGGTGGCCGAAACCTCCTTGTCTGCATACTGCTGGGGGGACACCCAGGACAAGCTGCTGGGGGCTTTTGGCTGCAACCCCTGCTCTGGTGCGGAGGCTCACGCATACCCATGCGTGCTGCCTGCCTGCAGGCATACTCTGCCAGCAACCAGCCGGCCAGGTCCAACTGAGCCAGGCACCCCTGTGGGAGTCCCTAAGGGTTGGCCTGGCTGCAGCCAGCACACCTCTCTCGTGGACGCAGCCCTGGTGATGCTGCAACCTCTGAGTCTACGAGAGGCCTCACACCCTGTGTGCACGCCCACTGTCCTCTGAGCACCTCACGCTGCAGAGTCAGGGACTCCTCTAGGGTGCTGAGGCCCCTGGGCTGTGGGCCACCTCCCAGGAACCAAATGAGCACAGTACCTATGGCTCAATCCAGCCCAGTCCTTGGCTTCATCCTTCCAGGAAGCCAGCCAGAGCCCAGCACCAGCTCCCTCATACCCTTCCATCTGTCCTGCCTCCACACAAACCCAGAATCGCCACTTCTTGGCCCATTGGCCAGACCTGGGCCACCTGCCTTTCCTCCCCACCCCCTTAGCCAGAGCTGAGCCAGCCATTGCAACCAAAGCCTCCACCCTGTGCTGCAGCTCCAAACCCTCTCAGAATGCCTGGGCTCCACTCCTTGCAGTGAAAGCCAAAGGCTTTTCTGATCCTCCTACCCACTCCTTGGCCCCGACACATTGACCATGCTCAAACCTTCGGATTCCAGCCATGCTTGCTCAGGCCTTTGCAGGGACTGTTCCACTGCCTGGAACACCACTCTCCAGAGACTTCAGGGCTCTGTCCTCTCTTTGGGATCTCTGTCCTGGAAATTTCTTCCTGCTCCTTCCCCCTCAGCATCTGCTCGTTAGCCACGGTAGGAGTCAGGGGTCGTGTCTGTTTCATTCACTGCCCTGTGATGGACAGTTCGTAGAAACTCATATGTCCCCTCCAAGCTCTAGAGAAAGGCCGCCTTCCTTGCAGCCTCCTCCTCTGGGCCCCTGGGCGAGTGTCTTTGTTCTTTCCCTCTTCTTTGTACAGTAGGTAAAGAAGATGCTGGTCAGGTAGGGGAGGCCCTGACCACTGCCCATCGCCCCTGGTAGGCCTGAGGTCCTGAGCCTGTCCCGGGCCTGGCTGCCCTTCCACACAGAGGTCACTTGCTCCCCCAACAGAATCCTGGCGTAGTCCTGGTGTCTCTGGTCTGGCAGGAGTGGGAGGGGCACCTGGGCCTCCCAGGCAAGGGGTCTCTGCTGGGTTGGGGCCGGGAGGCAGAACGGTGATGGATGCCAGTCTGCACAGAGGTGTGCCCCCCGCGAATCAACCCCAGGGCAGAGATGGTGCCCCCAAATGCCAAGGTTGTAACAAAGGGTAGAAGCTGTGGCTCGGCTTTGGGGAGCAACGCCTGTCTCTGACCAGGGCAGGAGCTGCCTCTGAGAAGCACAGGCGAGAACCCGCACAGGGCTGACAGGGCTTATCTGGGCCCACTGTGTTCAAGCAGTTGTGCTCAACACACAGAGCCCTTTTGGAAGGAGTCGGGCCCATGGAGGCTCCCAGGGACCTGCAGGGTGGACAAGGCCAGGCGTGAAGGACAACAAATGACAGAATGAGCGAGCCACGCAGTTGTATCTGTTTCACAACACAGTTACAGTCCAAATAAATAATTAAGAAAATAGGTACTTTTTCCTTCTGGGGTGACAGAAGAGGAAGCTCAGAGGGCTTGGCCAGCCTGGAAACAGCGACCCTTGTGGTGGGGTGACCGGGGCTCCAGGACAAGGTGGAGGCTTGGCACCTTGTATATGGCTGCTGTTTCAGGAAGCCCAAGCAGAGGAAGCAAGCTCCCTCCAGTCTCTTCTGGTGAAAGGGTAACAGGCTGGGGAGCCATCGGGAGTGACCCCTCCAGACACAGGCATGCCCAGCCTCCAGATGAACCAGCAGCCTGTTCAGGAAATGGGGTGGGGCACAGCCTCCCATCACAGTCCTGGCCTGGCCAGCGCAGCCCCAGGCACATAAATAACAATAAATACAAATAAATGGGGGGGAGCCCTCTCCAGGAGCAAACGAGGGATGTCCAGTGTGGCAGGAGCTCCACGCTGCCACTGGGGACAGCCAAAGTCACTGTGTCGACCTGGGCAGAACGCAGGTGCAGCCCACAGGCACGCGGATGAACTCGGTGTGGAAGGCATAGGCCCCGGGTGTGGGGGCTCCCGTGCCATTGAGGGCGCAGGGCTGGCGGCGTAGCACTAGCAGGCTCTGGTGCAGCCGCACGGAGTTGAGGGCCACCGTCTCGCGGCCTGTCCTGGCGTTGATGCAGCCCTGGCACAGGCACTCGGCGACAGCGAGCTTCTGTGGGTAGCGGTTCTCGTCTGTATCGATTCTGTGGGGACAGGGCCAGTGAGGTTCCTTGCTGGCCTGAGCCAGTGTCTTTCTGACCCTCCCGGCCAAACACTCCCAAGGCTGCTCCACTGTGCTTGGGGTTAGGTGGTGAGAGCATGTTTGGGGGCCCTAAATGTGCCCGGGAGGACGACGCCTGGCATGCAGTTGGTGCTCAATAAATGGTCCTCTGAGAGCTCAGAACCAAGGGCCTTAGCAGGGGCCCCTGGTTACCAAGGTCTGGGCTGAGGTCTAGCTCAGCTTCCTAGGGGACAGGGTAGATGGAGAGGTCAGGATGAGTGTGCCCATGTTAGCAGGTGAGAGACCCCAGGGAGGGGACCCATGCCTCACCGGTATCTCCAGGGTGAGATGGAGCGCTGGTGGGTATCTGCTTCCAATACCTCCTCTGGCCGCAGTATGGGGCACTGGGTCCCCACCGGGGACTCCTTGTGTTGCCTTCTGTGGCCCACTGCTTCCAGGCTGGACACGAGGGCCACAGGCAAGGCCCGTTCCCATTTGGCACTTCGAGCCAGTAGGTGTGGGGGGACGTGGCCATGAGTCAGTTCCTCAGCCGAGTAGCAACGTGGGGTCCCATAGCCAGGAAGGGCACCCCCAAATGTGGGGCTTTGGTGGGCCAGGCCAGCAGGCAACCAGGCCAGAAGCAGGATCCCAGGGAGGAACTGGGGAACAGGCAGACGTGTGCTTAGGGGCTGCCCAGGGATGGGGGCACCTCACATCCCCCCAGCCGTTTGCCTGCTCCCAGTGGAAAGATGGAGTACAGCCCTCCCTCTACAGATGGGGAAACTTGGGCCCTCAGCCCAAAAGCCTCCAGCACATCTGGGCTCCCCCTCTCCCTAGATTTGGGGACTTCCCAGATCCCTTCCCAATTCCCTCCTCCTTGGGCTCAGAGACCTCACGCCTTCTGGGCCAGGTTGCTCACCATCACAGTGCTGGCTATGGTGGCAGTGGCAGCAGGCAGAGAACAGCCTCGCACCTGGCGGCAGGCCCAGTAGTACACTGGTGAAGTCCTGGCTGCCAGGTTCTTTATACCTGGAGCCACACCTGGGGAAAATCCAGCCATTACTTCCTCCTTGGGGTATGCCCAGCCTTCCGTGCTTCCTCCTCTGGTCCTGTCCTGTCTCCCTGTCCCATGGTGCAGGACCCACTGGGCCCCACCCTGCCGCGCCCACCCTACACCACAAAAGGCGTCATGTGTGAGTCCTGTGAGGGCCCCTCCCCGCCCAGAGGGACCCTATGGCCTCTGCCTTGACTGGCATTCTGGAACCTCCTGTGGTGACTTCAGCCTGAGCATCAGTCAGCAGCTTGCTTTTTTGGCTGGACTTGTACCATTTTTGCTACTTGGACCTGCTGACCCTGGGCTTGGCAGTGGGGGCTCACTTACATCCTGTCATCAATCTGCCAGGGTCTTCTCCTGTCCACCATGGGTGGACATCAAGGTTGTTTTGCCTAAGATGACCAAGACCAGGTGAAGTTCATGTGCCCCTCCCTGTGCAGGAGGGAGAGTATGTGTGTGGTGGGGTCCTCCTATCTTAGTGGGGCTCCTACAGTTTTATCCAAACAAAGTCTGAACTTCAAAGCTTGGGATACAGAATGACATGGGAAGCTGTTTTGAGAAGCTGTCCCCTGGAAAGGGGATAGCAGGGTACCAGTCTTAGGACATTTTGAATGCCTGGGGTTTGGGTGTCACCCTATGGAGGATCCCCCTGGGGTGGCCTGGCCCACAAGTTAAGAGTCTAGCATGTCCAGCTGATGGGCAGGGCCAAAATGTGCCCAAGAAGGCATCCTTTTCTGAGACAGTCCTCCACTTTTGGACAGTAGACTGTTCCAGGTCCTCCCCTCAGCAGCCCTTGGTTCTGGGCTTCCCTTCCTGGGCCTCAGTGTCTTCATCTGTCAGTGTGAAGTAGAGCCTGCCTGGGTAAGCAGCCTGGGGACAATCAGGGCTGCTCTTCCTTGTGCCTCTGGCCCCGGCCATCTATGTCTGCTTAAATAACTCGAGATGGGAGTTCAGATCTACACTGGCTCCCTAGTGCTGGTCTGGAGACCAGAGGACTGCAATCCAGGTATCCAGGGCTGGTTCCCTGTGGATCCTAGGCCCTACCAGCTTCTGGTGGCTCTCACCGTCCTCGGCTTCCATCTCTGCCTCTGTTGTCATAGGGGGTCTTCACGTGGTCTCTGCCCTGTATCTGACTCTTCTGTCTTCTAAGGACATGGGTTATTGGAGTTTAGAGCCCATCCTAATCCCACCTCGAAATCCTTATCCTCATCACATCAAAGCAAAGACCCTGTTTTGGGAAAAAGTAAGGCAACTTTGGTGCTGGAAGGGCTCCTCAGGCTAGCCTGACACGTGCCTCCCTGCAGGGGCATGGAGGGCGCAGAGGTTCTGGTCCCACACCCCAGGGGCAGCAGGCACAGGGGTTGTGCTCCAGCACAAGAGCCGCTCCTGCACATCAAGGTACTCCGTAAATGTCAACATGAAGGGACAAAGAGACAGCTGTTTGTTTCCCAGCTCCAGGGGCCACCCGAGGACGGCACCACGCCACCCCACGGCTGGGGTCAGTGGCACAAGTGGGGCCTGCTCTCACTAGACACAAGGAGCATTGTGGTTTTGGATCTGTCTCCAGGGCCCCTCAGTCTTTGTCTGTGGCAGAAGCTTGGGGCTCCCAACTCTCAAGTGCAGCATGGCCAGAGTGGGGGTGAGGCCTGGGCAGTGTCCCAGGCACTGAACTGTCCCTGAGGAACCTGCAGCTGGGGACCCGAGATGTTTCATGCAAACCCTGGGGAATCGCCTACCTCAGCCTGGCAGGGCATAATTTCCTGCCCTCCCTGGTACACATAGATACCCCTCATACCCACGTCCAGCTGTGGCTACAGGACTGACCCCTCACAGAAGACCCCAGTGGACTCGGTGTGGGGGGCTCAAGGGGTCGGCTTCCTGAGCCTCAGTTTCTCTATTAAACCAGTGGGCTCTGCGTCATCTGCCTCCAGGCATTCCTGCTTCAATGCTCTGAGTCTGTGGGTCACAGGAGTTTCCTGGGGTGGGAAGATTTAAGATTTAAGAGGCAGATTTAAGGAGAGGTAAGAGCTGGGGCCACTGCAATCCACAGGGTGCCTCTGGGCAGTTAGAAACAAGAGATCTCAGCCCCCTTCCTGGCCTGGGAGCCCTTGTGGTACTAGTTCAATACATAACCTGCCCAGCCACATCTGGAATCCTTGGAAAGAGAGGACTGAAGAGGGAAGAGAGGACGGAAAGGAGGGAATGAAGAGGAAACAGGGATGGGAAGGAAGCGGGGAAAGGGCCCCACTTCAGCACGTCCTGCTCTAGAGCCAGTGACCTGCCCCCTCCAATGCCACCTCTCCCAGGGAGGAGCATGGGTCTATCCACACAGAGACCACATGGCTCCCTAGGGAAAGGCTGCTGTCACAGCAATGAGTGTCTGTAGTTACTTACTCTTCTTTTTTTCTTTGTTGGGAGTGTTACTGGGGTTTGAACTCAGGGCCTGGTGTTTGCTTGACAGGCAGATGGTCTACCGCTTGAGTCACGCCAATGACTGTGACACTCCCCGAGTTGAGCCGCTCAATGGGTGACAAGTGAATTAGGGGTGGGAGGGAGGCCACTGGTCCACCCCCCTTGCCTCTGTCCAGTCCTGTGTTCCACATTCAGGGGAGGATGCAAACATGGAGGATGGTCACAGGGGACATGCTTGACTCCTGCCACGCTCATGGCCTTTGAGGAACTTCAGCCTCGCCCTCCTCACAGTAGGAGAAACTGAGGCTGGGGTGGGTAGTAACTCTTCCAGGCCGTTCAGCAGACACACTGGTAGAGCTGGGTCTGGGTCACCATGGGACTGACACTCTCTGCCTAGCCAGGCCCACTGAGCAGCATCTGGTGGCCCCAACTCCAGACCCACTCATGTTCTCTGGAGCATTCAGGCCTGGAATTCAGAGCAGATGGACCGAGGACCAAGGAGGGCACTGAGGTATTAGGGTGGGGCCCAGGTTCCCAGGCTAGGGACCTTACGGTGGCTGAGCCAACCCAGCAGCTAACCCCAATGAGTCTGCTCAGCCTCCCTCCGCCACAGCCCCCGAGGTGGGAATCTGTGCAGGAAATGTGGGACCCCGGAATTCCCAGCCACCATTTCTGATTGAGTCAGTTAGCATTGAGCAGGACTGAGACTGAGGCCTCCGCCTCCCTGTGTCAGCCTGACTAGCACTTCTGTCAGCAATCTGGCCTCACAGCTGTGGCCAGGAGCTGTCGGATGTGCAGTTGTTCCCTGCCGGACAACTTCCTCTCATCATTACCAGGCCCCAGGCAAGGCAGAGGCTCCCAGGGAGGAGGGGAGCCAGCCACTGCTGGGGGGAGAGGGCACAGACAGAGCCATCTGGCTTCTGAGACTGAGGCTGGACAGCCAGTCAGGCTTGGTTCCAGCCTACATCTGGCTGCCTTTGGCCTCTGAATCTACCTGCCTCTCACCCACAGGCTGTTTTGAGTTTTAACAGAAGTGGTATGGTCTGCCTCTGGGATATACTCCCAGGACCCTGTAAATGGTAAGGGAGTGGGGGCAGGAGGCGGGGAGCTTCCCGCCTCACTCACAAGTCTGGGGTTGGGCAAGACTGGAAAGGAGGCAGGAGGAAGGACACTGGGCTCCCCCCACCTCCCCACTCTCCAACAGGCTCTACATGCACCACACCCTGGCCCCAGAGTCAAGGGGGTGGGGTGAGGGTGGGGCAAGCAGACCCTGGGTGAAGTGAGAAGAGGCTCCAGGTAGGCTAGGTGAGGCAGATAGGAGGGATCTCTGTTCAATGGGTTAGATGGGGCTGCACCTCCCCTGGGCCTGGGGTTCAGCCAATAGCAAGGCTGACTGCTTGCTCTGTGGTGACCTACAGGCAGGGCTGTGCACAGGAGGTACTGAGACATTGGGAGCATCAGATGGGACTTGGGAGGGGAGGGCGGGACTTCAGTCATGTGTGTCACATTCCTGGAGCCCCCATATTATAGAGGCCCTTTCCCAGAAACCTGTCTAGAAGCTTCTTTATGTGGACCTGTGGGGCAGAGCTGGGTTAGGTGTGGACCTCATTGTCCCAGGGTCCAAGACCTCTGGAGGGGCACCTGCCCTGGTCACAGATGGTGGATAGCAAAAGCTAGGCCCACTGTTACAGCTACAAGTTTGAACCCAGTTGTGTCTGAGGCTCCAGCTCAGTAACGTCAGCTGAAGGTGGGGTGGCAGCAGAGGGGGCCTTGCTGGTGCTAGTGAAGACTGTGGGGGGCTCACCTTGGGCTCCAGATTAGAGGGAGGCAGTCACTACAGGCTGCTCTCCAGGGGTCCCAGCTTCCAGCTTGTGTCCTCAACAGCCACCCGTTTGCATTGGGAGTTCCCTTGCACTCAGCTTTGACCTGATGGCAAATCAGATAAGCCTCAAAAAAGTCCTAGGGCACAGGCACATCCTGCCTAGGGTACTGCTACACAAGACCAATTGTGGCCTGTGATGGGACGTAAGGGGCTAGCTTGGCACAGAGCTCCGTCCCACACTTTAATGCTACTGGCACATGGAGCCGTGTAATAAAAGCCAGAGCCCAGGTTACTGCCCTATGCTGGGCACACAGGGCTCTTCTCCCCAGCACTGGGATGGACACACAGGCTCTTGGCATTGCACTGAAATATTTAGGAAAGATAAAGGCAGAGGAAGGATGGGCAGGGGGCAGGTCCCACACCCCACTGAAAAACCTAGAGCTGGGGCCTAACTCGAGGGCTCTCAGGGTAGGACAGTGCCAGCCATGGGTGGGAGCATTTTGTGACCTGTGCTCTGGAGTGAGGCGTCCTAAGCTTGTTTGGCCTCCACACATCTTGGACCCTAGCATCGTATTTGCCAGGTGCCATGTTCAAAGCAGGGTGACAGGTGGCTTCAAGGCTGGGATCAGCCTAACCTGGTCCACAGTTCCTCCCCACCCCAGGGCCCATGGCAGGGAAGGTGGCCACTAGCTCATGTCCTGAGGAAGCCCTGCTAGGAGAGAGCAGGGTTGGCATAGGCCCACCATGATGTGGAAACCAAGGCACCAAAGGCAGACCCCTGCTACCAGCTCTAGGTTGGGTGCTCCGGGAGGAGACAGGGGCGTGCAAGGTGTCAGGGCCTGGGCATTGACCCAAACATCATCACGAGAACCAGAAAACTGCTTATCAAAATATTTTATTTTAGGAGATCCCTCAAAAAAGACCCTCCACATTAGACAGATGCCCGACAATACCCTTGACTTTTTTTTTTTGGTCTTCTATTTTTTCCTTTTTAAATCAACTAAAACAATTTGATGCTTAAAATAAAAGAGGATATAGTTCCCAATCAGACTCTAGTCAAGAATATATATACTTCTGATCCAGGGCGGTGAGGAAGGCAAAGATGCTGCCAGTAGTCCACGACCTATTGGCCTTCTCATCTCCAGTGTGGAGATGGACGCACAGCAAGGGAGACTGGAGGAGGAGGAGGAGGAGGAGGAGGAGGAGGAGGGCAGGGCCGTGTCTGGGACTCATTTACGTAACACCAGTGTGGCCTGTGTCACCACTGTCATCTCCGTCTGTCTGGGGAGACCACTCTGGAAGGGACCCCTTTAGTCTGGTGGGGGAGGCTGGGATTCGGCGTCATCCTCATTTTGTGTGTGGCTTCTTTTCCAGCTGAGAAACTTTTTTTCCTTTTTAAATTTTTAAAAAGAATCACAGCCCAAATAAGACATTAACTGCAAAATCCAAAATGGCTGCGCTTACCCTATTTATAAAAACGTAAGTCTACTCCAGGTCTCTACACTTTCCCAGGGATCTTGGCCCGTTTGCGTGCGATGGCGTCCTCTACAGCCTTGAGCTGCTTCAGGAGCTCCTCCCGCCGTGACAGTGTGCTGGCCTTCCCTGACTTGGTGCTGGCGGCGGTGGCATCTGTGACTTTGCCAGGTACACTGGTGACCTTGCTGGAGCTCTTGGACTGGGGCGATGGCTGGCGCTTCCTATAGGGTGGGAAGGCGAGAGAGGACTGATGTTTCTCTGCCCCCGAGGCTGTGCCTGGCACATGGAGGGCGTGAGGGTATAACGCGGGCTGTGAGCGCCTAGGACTCCCCACTCGTCTGTGGAGAGACTGGGAGGGTTCTGGGCTGGCCTGAGGCTGCAGCATGACTCTTGGCTCAATGTCCAATCTTCCCGATGGCCACCCTGAGACCTCTTTGTGTTCTCTGCCAAGGGCTCCTTGGGGAGACAAGACCCTGCATCCCCAACTCAGGCTGAGCCCCAGGGGACAGAAGCCACGGCCCAGCTTTGAGAACAGTGTGATGGGCTATGTCTGGTGCCCCTGTCCTTCCCCTGCTGGGACTGGAGAGTTTCTGTGGAAAGAAATCTGCAGGCTTGCTCACTGGCCTCCTTAGGCTAATAGCTGGGCCTCAGATATGTAGGGAGCTTTAGGCAGGGCAGGAGGCCCAGGCCACTCTCTGAGCCAAGCAGTGCCATGTCTGGCCATGACCAGCCCTGCTTTCCTTTCTCTGGGGAGAGGCCTGGTCCTGGGCACAGCCAGAGACTCACCTGTCTGCTGGTGCTGCAGGGGCTTTGGAGTTCTGGCCTCTCTGCCGCTCTGGCTTTGGGGAGCCCAATCTTCCACCGGACTTCCGGTCCCGAGAACCTGGCAACAGGGGACAGAGTGAGACCACTACCCTGCTACATAGTAAAGATAGCCTGGTTATGTGTGTGCCACCATCCAGTTCCAAGGTGTCTAGACAGCTCAGCCCCCACCTTCATATTTATAAGTAATAACAGAGCCCTTGTGCCCTCCTCACACGGGACCACCTTGAGGTCGGCAGAAGCCACAGTCACGTCAGCCCAGATGTTACATCCAGTGTATTTCTACTCACTTAGTTTATCACAAAGAAATCGTGTTTGTGTTAACATATGGTGGCTTATTACTGTTACTTAATTTTTTTGTGGTGCTGGGAAATCAAACCCAGGACCTTGTACATGCTAAGCAAGCACTCGACCACTGAGCCAACCCCAGCCCACTTGCATGTGTGTGTGTGCGCGTGTGGGGATAATGGGATTGAACCCAGGGCCTGTGCTTGCTAGGCAATCACTTTACCACTTAAGCCATGCCCCAGTGTCCCTGTTAATTTTAAGTATTTAAAATTTTTCAGACTGGGCATGGTTGTACACACCTATAATCTCAGCACCTGGGAGGCTGAGGCCTGGGACTACACAGAGAAGACTGTCTTAAAAAAAAAAAGAAAAAAAAGTAAAGGAGAAAAATAAAATCCTGCTCTTAATTTCTAACACTATGAATATTGATGTAGCCCACACAACCAGAAGCCTGTCAAAGGGACGGCTGTGGAGGCCCTGCAGTTGGGAGCCTCTGCCCTGGATTGAGAGGCTCACCTCGGTCTGGGGATAAGTTGGCCCGCTTGGCTGGAGGACTTTGCCTGTCTTTGTCTGATGGCTCATACCGCTTCCTGCTTCCTTTATCAGCCGCCTGAAACAACAGTGCCATTAGCATGAGGGTCTGGACTGCTGCTGCATCCTTGTGCCCAGCTGTCAGTAGCGATCTGTTCTTTGCTTCCCTGGATCGCTCCTTTGGACCCCTCACCCAACCCGAGCAACTCTGTGGCCCTTGCCACCACATGTTTGACCCTGAGTGCTCCAGCATGCCAGGCCTCTTGTTCTTCCAGCCAGCTCTGCAGAATCTTGGGGATGTCTGATGCTGAGGGTGAGATCAGAACCCTCAGGTTGCCTGTTTGCTCTCTGTCCCCAGCTGTTCTGCAGGAACCAGCTGGGTCATAGCCCCTGGGTGTGCTGTCTGGCCGTTACTTGGGGTCAGGAGCAGGGTGGACCTCCTGGGTGCTGGGTATCAGCCTACAATAGGCCCTTGGCCTCACCTTATTAAGCAGTGTCAGCTTGATCTCCTTGTGGGCAACGAATGAGCCTTGCTGAGGCTGCCCGGGGGGTGCCGGCTGTGCTCCTGTGGGCTGCTGGGAGGACTTCCCGCCTGCCAGAGGCTTTGAGGACTTGGGCGGCTGGGTGGATGTGTCCCTTTTCCGCTTTTCCTCTTTAACACTGTCTTCTTTCTTAGATTTTCCTGCCAGTGACAAACTCTTGGTCACTTGTTCCCATGTGCACTGACAGCAAGACAATGTCGTGCCAATGGGATACCACTGTGCCACACCTCTCCTCCTCCCCCCGCCACCCCGCCCCAGGGCCTGCACCAGAGTAAGGGTCCTGCATACCTCTCTCCTTCTTGGTCTGGGCAGGGGTGGGGGACCGAGAGCTGGCTGAGGACACAGGGCTAGCCAAGTCCGCATACATGTCCTCTGAGTCCACACTATGCACTGAGCTGCTGCTTGAGGTGGCGCTGGACACTGAAGATACACTGCTCACGCTCAGAGACCTGTATACACAAGCACAGCTGTGCCCTGGTCCTGGGCCCTGATGGTGAGCAGCTGGGCTAGAGGCTGAGGGAAGATCAGGGCAGGTCTCTACTGCTTGTCTTTTACTCAATTTTCATGTTTATGGAAGGTGCACCCATTGAATGTGAGATTTCAGGGGACTTTGGGGAGGCCAGAGATGCTACATAGAAGGGACAAGCATCGCACGCATGGTGACCTGTTCCACTAATGCAGGGTCACACAGAGTTCGGGGAAAGGAAACATGGCTGAGCTCCCCCCAGCAGTGCTGAGGACAGTGCAACAGCTTGTGTTAAAGATGCACAGCCACAGGGCCGTGGCGGCCAAGACGGGTGCCTGTAATCCCAGTTCCTGGGGAGGAACAGAGCCCAGGAGTTGGGGGCCAGCCTGGGCAACACAGTGAGACCCCATCTAAAAAAAGTAGAAGTGAAAAGGGAGATAGATAGAGTCAGCTGACAGCAAAATGAAAAAAAGAGATGGCCATTTAATTTCAGTGCAGGGCACCTCATGAAAGTATGGCAGGGGGACTTGGACTGCACAAAATGGCAAAGCAGAGCCAAACAGCTGTCCGGCACCAATGCCAATGACCACCTCCTGAACTCACCAGGAGCTGCTACATGGTTAGGGGAAGGAAAGGGAACCAAATGTTTTCTATTTTTAAAAGAAGGACTAAACTAGGTCTTTAAACACAATCTAAACCTGTTAAGAAAGACGTGGACAAATACATAAACCACCTGCTGCCCGGGGACTAAAGGAAAAGTTTGATGCAATGACCCTCAGGACAGATTTGTCTCTGACTTCCTTTTAAACACATGAACAGCAGAACCCTCTTCACCTGTTTTCAGCTCTGTTTTTCTTTGCTGGCTCCCATCCCTTGGCTGCCTCAGGGAAGGCTCCCACCACTAGAGTGACAGGCCTAGGGAGGACCCCGCCTGTCCTTACTCTGTGCTACTGGGCTGCATGCTCCCCAGTGTCAGGTGTCCCTGTGGGGAACACACCTCCAATGCCCAGGAGTCCCTAGTGGGGCCACCTTGCTTGGAGGTGGGACAGAGACAAGGTCAATATGGAGTGGGATCAAGCAATTGACCTGGATCGGGAACTGGAGCCACTGTAGCTGCTGCCACTGCCACTGCCGCTGCCGCTGAGCGTCCGCCTGCAACACAAGCAGCACAGCCCACCCTCAGAGGCAGAGCCCATCTGCAGCACAGCCCACCCTCGGAGGCAGGGCCCTCCTGGACACCAGGCTCATCACTGGTCTGAGACAAACATTGAAACTGTAACTTGCTACTGCCTTGAAATTGGGTATGGTTCTATTTTCTTTTAGGTGTAGCTTTTTCTCAAAGTAAGAAACTATCTAAAGACAGCACCTCTCAGCACCAGAAGGGCCTGTTTGGCCTCAAAGCATACACTTATCTTCAGGGCAGGCCAGTGGCCTCAGCATACAGTATGCCTCCATGTCCTCTCCCCAGAGGCAATGAAGCCTGCTGGGCAGGTTGGACAGTGAACACTCTACCCATCAAGACCCAGGGAAACCGAGGCTTAGCCAGGATCAGGACAGAGTTTCCAGGTCAGGGCTTGACTTGCTCTGCTGCCTCACCAGGTTTTGGATCTGCATACTTTGGAGTTTTCTCAGTGCTTGCTTTGTGGCACCAAGGGCAGGGAAAACCCACCATGGTCACCACAAAGCCCACACACTCACCTCCTGGGGGGTGTCCTGGCTTGCCGCTCCTTCCTCCTGGCCTCCCGGGGGTCTCCTGGTTTGGCAGGCTCGGGGGCAGGAACAGTGGTTTTGGTGGCTTGTGGCGGGACTGGGAGTGGGGCTGGCTTCTTCACTGACTTCTCTCTGTGGCACAGAGGCAGACTCAGGGCAGAGCGGGTATGGGGTCCCCACTAAGCACACCCACACTCAGGGCTTTGTAGTACAGATATGGCACACAGCTGCTGAGGTCTATGCTAAATCTAGTCCCACACGTTCCTGGGAGCCACATCTATAGCCTCTGTGGGCTGGAAAGAGTAAGACAAGACACAAGACAGCAGGAGGAGGATGGAAGTCCTGCAGACTGACCCCACAGAGAACAGTGACCAGAGATGGCTCAGCACTTACCCGGCTTTCCCAGGAGGTGGGACCAGCTCCCCCTTGGTTCTTAAAGGTGGTCTGTGTGGGGAAGGCGTGGGAGATGGGGATGGGGATGAGGAGAAGGATCGGGACCTGGAGAATAAAGACAGAGTGAGGAAGGGGCCTGGTGGTTGGCCCATTTCCTTCACTGGCTGGGCCTGGACGAGTCAGCCAAGAGACAGCCCCAGACCCACAGAAAATTCCTCAGATTTAAAACTCAGTTTCAGATCCCCTTGACATTTGCTAAAAATACAGACTTAGCACAAAGGAGAGTGGTGAGGGGTAGCACATAGTTCTACTCTATGGCCAGGGCAAAAGCACAACCCTTTTTTCCCATAACATTAGTGAGGACAAAATGCCTGATCTGGCTACATGGTTGGAGATGAGAACAGGGCAGACGTAGCTCTAGGCCAAGTGTGGGACCTAAAAACCTAGGGGGCTGGAAGGTGGCAGGGCTGATGAGGGGCCCAGAGAACCAGGAGACAGGCCAAGTCCAGGTTAGCAAGCACAGGCAACAGAAATCCCCAAATAGGTGACGGGGCATGAAGTAAGGGCTGGATGGGATGGGAGTGTTACAGCTGGGAGGAAATTATGACTAGCTAATTTCAACATGTTTCGGGTGTCACCAGGGTGGACAAAGAGCCCTGGAAAGGGGACTTGGTGTGGGTAGAGTCCCCAGGACAGAATTCAGGATGGTGAGGTCATACTTGAGGCAAGAGGGTGAAAGGTTCAGGGGTGTGCCCATGTTCCCTACTAAAAACAGTCATAGGGGTTCCCATTTCCAATCAGGTGACACCAGAAGCTGAAATAAGACCCGGTCAGGCTCTTGCAGTCCCATGTACTCCAGGTTCAAAGACAGCCACACAGGAGAACCTTCTGCATACTCTCATGGCCTCTATGGGCCTTACTCTGTGGCAGAAAAGCTATGGCAGGAGGAGCAGGAAGGAGGCACAACCAGAGATGCTCTCCAAGAAACACCCCTCCTAGCCTATGGCTCCTTCCTTACAATCATGTTTTCCCACACCATACCCAGCCTCAGAAGGGTGCTGCAGCTCACCCTCAAGACCCAAGACAACAGGCTGCCTGAAGGGCTGGGCAGGGTAGCTAACAAGGGCGTGCCAATTGTGTGAGATGACAGTAAGTTTATGCCCAATGGTAAGGATGGGACGAAACTTCCAGATAAAGTGAGTGGAGTTTATTTAGAACTGGGCAATGAGAAGGTGGAGTGCCCCCTTGTTGTCCTCTTGTGACGTGACGTCACACCTCCTTGGTCACTGTGCTGCACCCTCCTGCCTTGTGTGGCACCCACTGGGCTTTCCCCTCCTGTGCTGGGCTTTTGTGTAAGGAGCCCTCTGTACTCATCCCAGCTGCCCACTGGCCCAGGCATCCCTGGACCTCAGGGCACAGTGACATGGGGCTTTCTTCCTGCTATCTCTGTCAGCTGCACACCCAGGGTAAAGGTCACATATAACTTTTCGCCCACATTGTGGACTTCCATTCCAAAATCTCAGCCTGGCCTCCAGGTACATTTTCTTCTCTACACCTCACCAGGCGCGTTTCTTACAAGGCCCCACACAGCATTTGTGCAGCTTCTGATGTTCTGACAAGTTTTCCCCGTCCTCCCACTGATAACCAAAGGGCCAGGCCCACCACTGTCTGATCCCAGGTGCTGCTGACAAACACAGCCAGAACCTGTCAGACCTTACACTGGGAGCCTGGTCAATCCTACAGACACCTGCAGGAAAAAGCTAACATTCCTTTGCCTGGCTGCCTGCTGCTCTACACATTGTGCTAGGCCCTGAAGAAATCTTAACTTGACCACTAAGGTCAACAGCCTCAATGACCTGTTACGGCTGCTTGCTAATCCTCCCTATAGTAAGACCATCCCATGAAAGGGCACCACTGGGTGGGACACTAGACCACTACAGGACATATCAGCTTCATGCTAGACCCAAAATGGGGTGCTGTGTGTGTGTGTGTGTGTGTGTGTACACAGGGTTTTCTGGGGTGTGTGTGTACAGGGTTTTCTGTTGTGTGCACACAGGGTTTTCTGTTATGTGTGCATGTGTGCGTCTGTTCTGAGATGGATTACGGTGCCCATCCCACCCTGCTAGCTTCACTAGATGTCATGCTGCACCCAAAGCCCAGTGTAAGCCCACTGAGTCCTTTGACCACCAGCCTGAGTGAGAAAGAGGGCACCTTCCAGTGGCAGAGAGCGACCACACACTACCAGGTTTCCCTGTGGGTAGGTCAGGCTGGACACGATGGGTGCTGGTAGTCTTTTGTCTCAAATTTTAAAAGTGTCCATTTTCAATGGGGGAAAACACAACAAAAAGTTGCTTGAACCTCCTAGGTATTTCTAGGATAACAGAAGCATCCTATATCCATATCTACCATTCAGTGTAGCCACTAATCACCCGGAATGCAGCTCCTGCACGGTCCAGCTGGTGATCCTCACAATGGATGGTGCTCAGGGTTGTGGCTGTGCTGCCCATGGCTGCCTTGGCTCTGAATTCAGCTTATGGAGTAGGCCAGAGGAGAGGCAGCCTCCGAACCACTGCTAAGTATAGGTCTAGGATCTTCTAACACCTACAGTCTAGGCTGCCTGGCAACTCAGATCCCAGTGTCTTTGGAGCCCTCAGTTGGATCGGAAACTTACCAAAACCATCCTGAAAGCAGTAACCTAGGAGGCCTGCCTTTTGTGGTGGCCTGGGACATACCTGGACCGGCTGCCTGAGAAGGAGCTGTGTCTGGAAGAACGGCTGGAGTAGGAACTATAGGATGAGGACCGGGACCGGGACCGGGACGAGCCAGAGCCAGAGTAGGACGAAGACCGAGACGATGACCTGTGGGCAAAGGGGCAGAGCGGAGGAAGTGAGGAGGCGACTCATTACCCCAAACGGATCTGTGTGGAACTACTGTTCTTCAGTGCAGACCGGGAGGACACAGCTGCACATACACAGGCACAGGCACAGGCCTCTGGAAGCACCTGTACCACAAGCCCATATATTCAGACATGCTAAGACAGACACAGGCATACAGACACACATAAACATCTGCTGTGCTGACACCTATGGATGTGCTGCGTGCAAATCCGCATCAATGGAGTGACGTGGGAACCACGGCCCAGGTGCTGGATGTGTCCACTGTTACTGGGAGACCCACTGACCAGAGTGAGTAGTGGATGGAGCCAGGGTGTGAGTTTGCACCTGGACCCCGTGTGCACGAGTCTGTGTCTGTCCTCCTGTCTATACACTAGCGTCTCCCATCCCCACTGCGCAACCTAGCTCCTCCCTGTAACTCCTCCCTTGGGCAAGGAGCCTCAACTCTCACCTCCACTGACTCACTTCCTCACGTGTTCACACCCAGAATGTAACAGTACAGTGCCACTAAGACAATCTCCCAAGAAATTGGCTGATTGGACCAAGGTGTGTGCAGTTCTGTCTGCAGCCCAGAGCTCCTCCACAGGGACTTCAGTGGACAGTGTGGCTGGCCCTCCCCTAGAAGACATACAGGCTGGTGTTTGTGTTCCATTTGGGCCAATCTATCCTGCCTTTGTTCTGGGGAGATGCGAAGACTTACCATGGTCTTAGCATCACTGGGGTCCCACTGACTTGCCCCGGAGCAGCAAACATACAAACACATGTGCACGTGCAAAGCCAGCTACCTTCACTGGGTGCTTCTTTACCTAGAGGAATTGGAGGCAGAGGCTGACGAGGCCGAGGTTTTCCGCCGCCTTCGTGCTCGGCTTGGGGAGACTGACACCCCAAGTTTCTTCTTGGGAGACTTGGATCGGCGCCAAGGGTCCTTCCACTCATCAGCTCGCTTCACCTGTGGCCCCACAGAGGCGGCCTCCTTCTTTGGTGGCTCAGCTTGTCGGCTAGAACACAGAAGGGTTGGCATTGCTCAGGCCACCTTCCTTCCCCAGCAAGGTGCCTGGGTTGAAAGACAGGGGGAGGTGAGAACATTACATAACTGGTTTATTTCAGAGACACCTGAAGACTAAAGCCAGATGAGAGGCAGCGGACCTTCCACTCACAAACCTAGGTTTCTCCAGAAATGGCATCAGCCTGTTTTTTCAGGGAGCATCCCTACTTCCTCTTAACCATAATGGTAACTGCTTTTTTGGTGTCATTACTTATTTAATTTCTATCTTTCTGTCCACCTGTTCTAAAACACTTATCTTTAGTGTGAGCACAAAGCAGGCACAAAATAAATATGCACAGAATTAAAGGAACAAAATTTACTGTTTTAAAAGCTGATTTATAAAAAAACTTTTGAATTAACAAATCAAAACCTTAAACAGTTTCTTTATCTCTGAGTTATGCTTGAAGTGACTGACTTAAATGTCAGCAGGGAACATCCAGGTGAGACCCCCAGAGAACACAGGAAGGCCCAGGCCCTCTCAGTACAACCGGGACCATCTGGTGGGCTGCCCAGCTGGCACTGGGACAGTTTCCCTGTGTCACACACTTCCTGAGACGTGGTCTTCCTTGAATGCACATCACTGTCAGATGACAACAGCCTAAACATTCCTCACTGTTAACTGTTTCATGTCTGACTTTTCAAAAACACCGATGCTACAATGAGTTTTTTTTTTTTTTTTTAGGGCAAAGTCCTAAGAACAAGAACCTGTGGCCCAAAGGAAAAGAACATTTCCCAGGTTCTTTCTTGGCAGGTTTTTAAATGACTGCCCAGCCACCAGCCCATTTTACCTGACTTTCAGCAGTGCACTTAAACCCAACACCACCAGACAAAACTAGCACATCAGAAATTCTTAGGATGCATGACAGAAGATGGTTGCTTAAGTGTTTTAGGGTCTTGCTTTTGCATGAGCCAGCCTTAGACTGCAATCCTCCTAACCTTTGCCTCCTGAGTATCTGGGATTATAGGCATGCATCGCCACGCCCAGCTTGTTTTCTCAGGCATGTTCTTGCTGACTTTTTTTTTGCTGGGCTGGTCTTGAACCCTGGGCCTCCTGCCTCTGTCTAAGTAGCTGGTGTTACAGCTGTGAGCCACTGTGCCTGACATGCCACTTGTATTTTTATGTCATTAGCTCTTATGGCAGTTTTCTAGTAAGCTCTTTATAAATTATGGATGGAACCCTTTTCCCATCCATAATAGTCTGTTCCCCAGACTATTCAGTTGAGTAGTTTTTTTTAAGGTATTTGACTAAGAGACCTAGTTTTTCATAGTCAATCCTGTGTTCTACCTCTTGTGCAGTTTCTTCTAGACACAGAAAGCTGCCCTTCACTCCTCAGTCAGGGTCACTGGCCTTTTCTTTCACTTGGTCTGCTCCCCTGCCCCTTTAGACATCTGGACCCTGTCTTCGCATGATGCCTACAGCACAGTTCCTGTAGTGTTGGCTGCCGGCCACTCTTGTCTGGTGGCTTGTGATGAATCTGGGGTATACTAAGTTCTTACTCTGAGGGCCTGCTCCCAGGCTATGTTCTCCACTTACACCAGAATCTTATCTGCATATAGGACTACTATACATTTTTTCTTTTTTCTTTTTTTTGTGGTACTGTGACTTGAACTCAGGGTCTTCACCTTGAGCCACTCCACCAGCCCTATTTTTGTGAAGGGCTTTTCGAGATAGGGTCTCTAGGAACCATTTGCCTGGTCTGGCTTTGAACTGCGATCCTCCTAATTTCTGCCTCCTGAGCAGCCAGGATCACAGGCGTTAAGCCCCTGGCACCTGGCAGTACCACGCCGCACATTTGAAATCCTCCTGTCTCCTGACTTTGAGATCCTGTGGTGCACCTTGCCTGTGCTCACAAACACCCTGTTGTCACTATGTCACTGGGGTTTGGGGTGGAATATTATTAAACTTCCTACAGCATCTCATCATTTATGCCCATCACCTCTTGCAGGTAGGGATAGCAGTTTTCTTCATAAAAGGCCCTGCCTTTAACTTTTTTCTTTAACTTAAAATATAGTAATAGTAGAGGATTTCGCTGTGAAATTTCCATAGATACGTACAGTGTACTCTGAACAAGTTCACCACCTCTATTATATTCCTTTAACTCCCTCCCTTCCCACCAGGTGTGGTAGTGCCTGCCTGCAATTCCAGCTCCAGGAGGCTGAGGCAGGAAGATGAAAAGTTTGAGGCCAACCTGGCCTACAGAGCAAAACCTGTCTCAAAGCGAAACAAAAACCCCCACCTCACCACACCCCCCACAAAAACGCCCCCCCAACACACACACACATACACACACATACACACAAAGAAAAGAAATGAGCTTACATGTTGCCAGGCACTGGTGGCCCTCATGATCCTAGCTATGTGGGAGGCTGAGAATGGGAGGATCGAGGTTTGAGGCCAGCCCAGGCAAATAGTTCATGAGACCCCACCTCCAAAATAACCAGAGCAAAGTGGACTAGAGGTGTGGTTTGCAAGCATGACGTCCTTAGTGCAAACTCCAGTCCCACCAAAACAACAACAAAAAGGCCCCATCACCACTACGAAAACCCCTCTACCTGTTTATATTTTCATAACTTCTGTTCAGACTGCTGAGGAACCTGGTTGGGAGCAATGCCAGTGCTCAAACCTGCCCCAAGGACAAACCACATGAGGATTAAGTCCGTGTTATCTCAGCCCAAACCCTCACAGCTAGAGCCACATTTACATCTGGGAGTTGCCTGCAAAGTCGTCCAGGAAGGAAGTGAGAACAAGCCTGGCAGTTCCCTGTCACAAGCTACGAGGTGCCACTTTCACCTTTATACTTCCTGGATGTTCTCATCCTAAAAACACAAGAGGAAGTGGAATACTGAGGTCACCAGCTCTTCATTAGTCATCTGGGAAGGGACAGAGGAGAATGGAATGCTTTAGCTGGTCCCTTGGCAGCAAGGAAAAGCAAGCCAGTGAGCTGTGGGGGTGGGCAGCTCAAGCCCCAAACGGTGGGAGGTCCCTGTCCTCTCCACTGCCTCTGGAGATGGTCCCCTCAGATCCACAGAGAACAGGCACCTTCAGCAGGCACAGCTGCCTCCAGATGCCCCAAAGCCTCTCCACCACTCCAGAGTGAGTCTGCATCAGAGAGGTACTGCCTTCATCTGAAGGGCTGGGGCTAAGCCCACTAAACAGGGAGCCGTCCACCAAGCCACATGCCTAGAACACAACAGTGTGGTGCACTGATTTGTTAGTTTAGCCAGCCATTTTTATTTTATTTCTAGTGGTACGGGAGCTTGAACTCAGGGCCTTGTGCTTGCCACACAGCTAATCTATGGCTTGAGAAACCTTCAGCCATTTTTTCTCTAATTTTTGAGATAGGGTCTTGCTTTTTGCCCAGGCTGGTCTGGCAGACATGTACCACCATGCCCAGTTTTTCCTTTCCTGTTGAGATGGGGTCTCACAAACGTTGTGCCCAAAATGGCCTTAAGCTTTCATCCTCCTGATCTCACCTTCCCAAGTACTGAGGACTACAGGTACGAGCCACTGGGGCCCAGCTAACCCTTTTTATTTTTGACTTGCTGTGGTATACAATCTGGCATTTGCTTTATAGATTTCCTTTTAAAAAGTATTTAAGATTAAAATGTGAAAATACTTAACACATGCAAATAAAATTACATAGGTAGTGTGTGGATATCAACTACCATATGGGAGGCACAGAACTACATGTGTGGGGATTGCTCAGATTCCATCATGTCTGTAAACCACCGTCAACATTAACCAAAGTCAACTGCCAAAAGTCAGCTGGCATCTCTGCCCACACAAGGGGCATTCAAACCACAGAAAGGGGCTCAGATGCGGGGTGTACAACTTAAGTCACAAAGGTAACAACAGATGCTTCAGGAGGAATGACTGGGTGATACAGCAGTGACACAGACACAGACTGTGAACAAACTCACAGACTGTGAGTCTGGCCATTGTGACAGACTTGGGAACTTTTGCTTCCCAAGACAGCCCAAGACACCCAAACAGAACCCTTCTCTTAGCAAGAGACAGTTGCCCAGACAGCTTCATCCGACCTGGAAGAGCCACGCGGGCAAAATGTACCAGACATAAGCCAGCTGTTCTGGAAGGCCCACTGTGGCTGCCTGGCCGCTTCCCAGCTGCAGGATGGGGTTGGGGCCTCAGGAAGCTGTGCTACGGCATACCTAGAATTTGCATAGACACTTCTAAAGAGAAGAAAAGATCCTGCAGATGATCTCTTTCCACAGCCATAGCATGTTCTTATCTCCCTGCACCAAGGCCACAGGAGACTCCAAGGAGCAAGGGTCGGCTTTGCTGCCCAGGCAAACACTGAAACCAACAGCACACAGCTCAGGGTACAGCTCATCTGTGCCTCACTGTGCAGGGCCAGTCAAGGAAGCATGAGCTGCGGACAAGGCAAGGTGGCTAACCCATGAGTGTCTGGGAACTCCAACCTGAGCAGCTGCCAGCTTGGGTTCAAAGAATAATCAAAAATGGATGGCGGTTCTTATCCAACATCAGAAGGATTAAACATCCCATAAAGATGAGGGGAGAGGGAATTCCCAGCATATGGGTCCTACCCGCTCATTCCTTGAGAATCCAGGCCTTCTGCAACACCTGTGTCCTCCTAACTCAATCTGCCAACATCTGTGGAGCAGGTGCTCTGCTCACCTCCCAGGGAACTGAGCAGAAAAGGTTCAAAGCAGCTCCAAGTGCCTGTGGAGCTGTAACCTGGCTTTTGTAGACTTCCACAGGGCCCTCCTACCTGGCCACATGCACACCCGTGCCCCTCGCCTCAGTGGATGGTTCCCACTACACCATATCCACATACCTGACTAGGTACGAAACTCTGTGGCACTGCCACATCGGGGTCTCGTATTTCCCACCATTCAAGGATGACTCTTGCTGGCTGAAGACACTCTGAGCTCAAGAATTCCTTCCTACCTTTGCAACGCCTCTCAGGAGTC